TTCTATATCTAAATGATATTATGGATAATTTTTTTTATTAAAATTTATTAGTTATATTAAACTTTTTAATACAGTAAGTTTAAGAAGATTTTTCAATTATAATTTATTTATTGAAGTTTGTATCAGATTTATTTATTTAAATTTATATATTAACAAATAACAAATAATTGTAGATAAAAATTATTATTTATTTACCATTCCTCAAATTCACATTCAGATAAATATTCTTCTGAATTACTCTTTTCCACATCTAAATCTGTAGGAAACACATTAATATGATCCATTGTTTGCATATTACGCTTTAAAAATATCATTTTTCCCAATAGGCCAGGGTCCAATGAATTTCTTTTTGATGTAATATGATTTCCTGCATCAGAGAAAAGTCGCTCAGAAGCTACAGAGGTAGCAGGAATACCTAAGTACTTTTGTGCAATTAAAGAGAGAATTGGAAAAATTTCATGTTTTACTCTCCACCAATCTAATGGATTTTTATTTTCCCTTGCAATTGGCATAAGAAGATAGCTTGTAATTTCATCCTCCATTTATGATGTAGGGATTTCTGTTCTTTGAAATACTTCTTTTGCTTTTTGTTCACGTCTTGCTTTATGGTCACGTAAAGATCTACTTGGAGTTGAACTTCCAGCAATTAAACTTTCAGCAGAAGTAACAGTTGTAGGTGATGATGGAATACTTTGCTGACTTATATCCCATTTTAATTGGTCATATCGTGTTCTTAAAGTAGAATGAAATTTTCTCTTTATACTATCATCAGAAATAAAATCAAGATTCTTATATCTTGGGTCTAAAAGTGCTGCCATAATACCAAACTCGTTTGGTATTTTCCAATAGTATCTCAAACTTCTGTAAATATTTTTCTTTACATTTTCTAAAGTTTCTCTAATATTATCATAATTAGTTTGCTGGTTAGTTGAATTTTCTTCTTCTAAATCATTAAAACTATCATCAGGTTCTTCTTCATATAAATTACCAGATGGATTTAAAGAATTTGTAAGTCTTGTAATAATAGGAACCACTTGACTTAATGTAACATAAGTATTTCCAGACAAATCTCGTGTAGCTTTTTCAAATGGTGACAAAATATTACATAATTCATCTAGTAATTCCCATTCATTATCACTCAACATAATTTTTTTCAATTTGATACTATCAGCTTTTTCTTCACGTATTAAAGAACAAGATAAATTTACATTAAGCTGAAGAATAGCACATTGAAGGAAAATAAGACGATCCCATGCTAAATAAGTTGAATTCCATCTTAAATAATTGAAATAAAATTAAATATATTAGCATTATATTGTAATTTGTAAACAAAATTAAAGATTTAAAATTTTTATTTACCTAGTGGGAATATCTTGTATTA